TAACGGCGGTTCAGATAACTTCGACTAAGCAAAAATTTAGAGTGGCTGCATTATATTGTCATCCCAGATTTAAAATGACGGAAGAAATGTTTCAAAACGTTCTGGCAGACCTAGGAGATAGATTTATATTGGGGGGTGACTTTAACTCCAAGCACACTGATTGGGGTTCAAGGCATACTTCAACCAGAGGAAGAGAACTTAGGACAGCAATTGGCGGCGCGAGGTGCCTTTTTCATTCTACTGCGAAGCCAACGTATTAGCCAACTTATGTTAATAAGTGTCCAGATTTAATAGATTTCTTCAAAACAAAACGTATTGCGAAAAATTTCATCGAGGTATGATCTTAACTCCGATCGTTCAGTGGTTATTCTTGAATTTAAGGAAAATATTGTAATGAAAAGAGCGAAACCTGCGCTGACTAATAAACTACGCATTGGTCACGATTTCGCTTAGAGATTGAACGACAAATAGATCTAAGAAAAAGAATAAGAAAAACCCAGCGCATAGATGAGGAAGTCGAAAACTTTACTAAAATTAATCAAAATGCGGCTTGGAGTAGCTCGAAAATTAATGCTACTAGAAGGGGAGGCATTAACTATCCCCAACATATACTAGCAAAAGTAAGACAAAGCAGGCGGGCGAGAAAGAGGTGGCAGCAAACGCGCGATCCTACTGACAAAACCAGATATAATCGTGAATCGCAGCAGCTAAGACGCTGTATTACAAAATACAAGGAGGATTCGGTTGTTAATTATGTTCAAAATTTGACGCCGTGTGAATTTTAAATTTTAAATATTAAAAACAAAGATGAAACGTGGGCAAAAACTGGCAAGGACAAGGCAAATGCGTTTGCGGATCATTTGGCCAATATATTCTGCCCGCATGACAGTCAGGGCGTGCATGAAAATGAGGAACCTGCTTTTGTTGGGGATAGCGAGACTATTCCAATTGTCAGGGAAAGAGATGTTGTGGAAGAAATCAGGACTCCTAAACCTAAAAAGGCCCCGGGATTTGACCTAATAACGGCCGATATTTTGAAAAAATTACACCAAAGGGGTATAACTATGCTTACGCGCCTAATAAATGCGTGTATAAGGTTTAATTACGTGCCTGAAATTTGGAAAGTTGCAGAGATAATCATGCTGCACAAACCTGGCAAGCCTACAGATAGGGCGATTTCTTATAGACCAATCTCATTGTTGCCGATGATTTCAAAATTGCTAGAGAAACTTTTATTGAAAAGACTTCAGCCGGAATCATTCAACCATAAATCAGATTCATAGAATAACTGACCTAATAGAAAATTCACTGAAAGAAAAAACAATATGTTCTATCATATTTTTAGACGTATCCCGGGCCTTCGATAAGGTTTAGCATTGTGGATTGATAAAAAACTTAGACGATTAGTACCAAGTCAGTATGTTGACCTGATCGAATCTTACCTGACTAATAGGGTATATCAAGTTAAACAGGAAGAGGAGTACTCTTCGCTTAGGGATATCAGGTCGGGGATACCACAGGGGAGTATATTGGGCCCGATATTATACTGGTACTTGCTATACACGTGTGATATTCCTGAATCGGAAGGAGTGAGAACAGCTACATTTGCTGATGTTATAGCAATTATCGCAATAGGACGAAATGAAAATGAATCTACACAAAAATTACAAAAGGCCAGTGATGAGATCTCAAAATGGACTAGAAAGTCGAATATAAAACTTAACGAGGTGAAATCAGTACACGTAAATTTCATTAATAGAAAAATTGTCAATTCATTTTCGGTTCGGATAAATGGTGTCTTTATTCCGTCCGCAAACAAGGCGAAGGGCCGCGGTACGCAGACTCATATCTAATCTATTCAAAGATTTCAAAATAGGGTATTACGGGACATTGTAAACCCCTCCTTGGTAAGTCCGTAATGCCGATATACAAAGTGATCTCACGATCCTAAGTGTCACAGACGAAATTAAAAAGCAAGCAGCCAATCATAAAATGCGTCTATACAATCATGTCAACATCGAGGCGACTCGATTTGTTGACAATCAAAACTTTGTTAGGAGACTTAAACGTACGAGACCTCTGGAGTTAGTTTAATGTTTTTTATCTGGAGCAATGAGTACTTAGTACGCTATTGTGCCAGATCAAAAGGTTGTAAATAATCAAAAAGGTTAGAGCAAAATTAATGGTTAGTCGTTTCCGACTAGTTTTATAATTTATTTTGAGGTGGGTGTTTTTTTTAGTAGATTAAAGTTCCACACTATTGCTTTTCGTCTGGCAGTGTCTTCGGAGATTTTTCACCCTTACTTTCGGTAAGAAAAGAAAAAAACAATAAAAAAAAATCCTTAATCGATTAGAATGCTAACTTATAATGATTATTTTTTTTAGTTTTTTCTTTTATTTAGGTAAAAAAGCGATCCGTTATTATCCGTTTTTATGCTTATATTTTATGCTTAAACTTTTACGATCACTTTTATTTGTACTGCATTTATATTAGGCAATAGGGACGTGTGACGTGAATCGGTCAATTTTATTTATATTTGATCAGTTCTCGTTCGTTTTTATTTGTACTGGATTTAGTACATTGTTCAATTTTACTTGTATTGTATTTATATTGCCAACTGATCATAGACTCCTATAATCATTGACTCCTATAATGTATAAGACGTCTTAATATTTTTGCGTATGTGTGTATCCAAAGTTTTTTGTTCGGAAAGAAGACTATTAATTTCTTTAGTCCATATATAAATTTCGTACGGGAAGGCTGTGTCGCTAAGCGGTAAAATAATTTATTTGCTGCTTATAATTTAATTTTAATTTAAATTTAGTGAATAATTATATTAATTTTTTGTGCTATTAAATTATTAAATGAAGAATTATAATTTATATTAACTAAATTTTGCCTTTTTTTCATAATATTTAGAATAAAACAAAGGTGAATTTGAAAAAATAGTACTAAAGTTTATTTAAAAAGAAAAAATGACCTAATGAATTAGTGAGATTCGGTGTACTTTTTAAAGTTTCTATTGTAATCGTATTTAAATAAAATATAATAAGATATTTGATTACGTTCATATAAATAGGTGTTGTGTCATATAAATGCCCCGTAGGTGTTGCGTTGAAGGATGCAGAAGCAATATTCTATGATACTCGTAATAGGAGAACGTAAATCCGATATTTACATTTACTTTGCCAAAGAACGAGATCATCAGGGATAAAATGTATACAAGCATTAGGAAAAACAAATTCGACACCACCGAAGTATTTTTAATTTGTAAGAACTTTATATTCTATTTTTCTGCCTGTGGCAAATATAATTTAATAAATTACTTAGTAATGTTAAGATTTGTACAATTTAAATAAGTATGTAATTTAATCTCTAATAAAAGAAAATTAAAAAATTTTGTGAATTTAGTTGAATACATTTTTGTCATAAAATTTATTTAACTAGTTTTAAGAAAAATTGATCAAAAATTTTATTTTTTTATGTAAATATGTTATGTAGTTTATTTAAAAACAATTTTGTTATGTATTTACTATGTTGGTTTTAGCTAAAAAATATTTGGTTACTTGTAATTTATTATAATGCAATTTGTTACCCGTAATAAGTAACTAGTTTGAAAGAACAAGAAATTTAATTTTGTTAATATTTAAACGAAATAAAATAATTTCTGCATATTTTTTGTATTTAATCGTTTTGTATTTTTCAAGCATCCCAAATTACCACAAACATTTTAAATTTATTCGAATATACCTAATATAAGAATATATTTCTTAACAAAAGGTATAATGAACAATTTTGAATACACCGTATGTATGGATTAGTAAATTGTGCATTACGAAGTCTTGAGAATAAAGATGTTTGTGAACTGATTCGGTCACCTTTGTGTTTATAGTATTTCATTAGAATTCTTCCAAAAATTTTTTGAAAAAAAGTGCTTATTAGTTTCACTCTTCTACACCCTTGAAGATAGAAAGTTGAAATTTAAGACCTACATAGACCTTTACTAGAAACTTTTTTCCGTAGAACAAAATTTTTACCTATCTCCCCCCCTCTAGAAGTTACACCCCCCAAAACCTTAAAAAATGGCCTTTTTCAACTATTTGTTGCAATGAAACCATAAGCATTTTTGAAATTTTGCAAACGCAGAAAGGCAGTGACTTGCTTCCTCTAGCGCGGTATACTATTGTGAAACTTTAGAAAACAATACAGCCGTTCAAATTTACCGTTATCTAAAGCCCTTTTTTTCCAAATTTTTGATGTCGTTTTTCTTTTAGACCCCTGCCTGTAGAATCTTGAAATTTAGGGTCTTTTAGACATTAACAAATAGTTTATTTTGTTAGAAGAAAATTTTTCTCAAGTTATCGCCTCTTGAAATTTGTAAAATTTGAATTTTTGACACCTTATATTTCCGAAACCGCAAGTTTTTTGAAATTTCTATAAACGCAAAAAGCTAACGGTAAATTTCATGACATTAAAAAATATAATTATTTTTCTTAACTCACACAATTAAACCTTAGAATCGAGCATTATGTTAATCCCTCTATATTAATTTTTGCTTTATTTCAAAGGCTGCATATATGCGTCATCCTAAATATATGCAATCCTAAAAATTGCTTTGCATATGAACGAAAACAATATCACGTGTTGAAGGGAAAAGTGCTACAATACAAACCGTTGGTTTGACCCAACTTTATTTATTTTACTTCTCATTTTCTTTTATCAATATTGCGTATAGGAGAATGTCGTTGGTTTTTATAAGTATTTACATATGCGTTATTTAGTATGTCGTTCAATTTTATTTTTATTGTGTAATATTAATACAAAAAGGAATAAAGCTGAATTCATTGGTTCGTCAGTTAAACGACGAGCTGATATAAATTACGTGAAAATTTGAATTTTGGACATTCTTTTTATTTTTAGGACAGCTTATTTTCCTCTCTCTCAAAAATCGTTTCCTCTCTTGAATCGACTTCAACTATAGTGCGGAGGTTTTTTTAAAACGTCAAATTTTTATATACTGAACTATTAAAATTACATATAATTTTTGTCAAAAAAGTAATAAATGTTTTATTTTAATTTTTATTTTTTGAGGAAAGTAGATAGAGGCTAGAGCGTAAATTCAAAAAAAAATGAAAGATAGGCTCTACTGCTTTGCCAGTTTATTGATCAAGCAGTCTATTCTGTGAATATTATTAAAAGCTAAATTGACTTTTGAAAGAGTCAGTTAACATAGTCAACGAATATAATAATGTAATACAATTTGGCTACACTCCCCTTTTTTATTTGACAAAGAAAAATTTTGTTTATTCGATTAATATATGTATGTAATTCATTAAAAAACACATACAAAACTGTTGGAAGGCGTTTTTTGAATGGAACAAAGTAAAGATATCAGAGAAATATTCTTAAAGATATAATATTTCCTTTATTAAACCTAAATTAAAAAAAACAATGCCATCTCATAGAACATCAGAACATGGATATTCCATATATGTACGTAACTAAACACATGGTTATTATTTTTTTTAGCCTGAACAGCTTTCATTCACAGGTGGGTTTGATATTTGTTTTTAATTTGATAGTAGGTACTGGGGCCCTTACACTTCCCTCAATATTTCATCGGGCTGGATGGATCTTAAGTACAGCCGTTATTATAGTTTTAGCCTTCATTAGCGGAGTAACATCAACTTTTGTAATAGAATCGATAGCATGTTCTGCGGCAATATCTAAGTGGAAAAGTTTGCAATCGAGGAGACGTGTTGCAGTAATAGTATATTAAAAGCTATTTTGTATTAACTTTAAAAATGAAATTTCAGGATAATGAAATACGAACTCATGAAAATGCTGATGAAGTATTAAACGAATCAAATGAATCTGAAAACGATACGCAAGGGGAATCTTTGCTTCTGTCTTCAAGATCATTTTATAGACTGGACCAAAAAATTGAAATGGGAGAAATGGCATCAATTTTTTTTAACGATGCCGGTAGAACTACTTTTTACGTTTGTTTTATAACATATTTGTATGGAGATTTGAGTATATATAGTGCAGCGGTAGCGAAATCTTTACGAGATGTTTTTTGGTAAGTAGCATTTATAATATACATGTATGGTGTTTATAGATAGTATCTGACTACGTTTTTTGAATGAGTAAAATCCATCATACAAATGGAGTAAGACCAAAACAAAGTTATCAAGTAAAAGTATAATTGCTAAAAATTTGATTTTGGATAACTATTAATAGATGTAGATAATTCCAACTTTGCATTCATGTCATAAGGACAAGCTTTAAAACCTCTAAAATAATTTAAGCTTTAAAGTCTACTTAACCTCGAGAATGAATTGTAAGTTTGTATTTCATATGTGATATCTATTTTCTATTGTTTCTTCTTCAAATTATATAGCGGACTTTAATATTTCAAAATATCTAATTTCATATTTTTTATAGCAAAAATGGTAAAAACTAAAATTATCAACTATTATTGTAGAAAACGTAAAAAAGCTGAGATGGTAAAATTTTTTTTTTACTTTTTACATATTATTTTAACATATATGTATGTACATAGTATATTTAAATTGACAGTTCATATATGGTTCATTTACATTCTAAGTCAAAATGTCAAAATATTAATATTCAAACAGCACAGGGCTGGTATTAAAAATATTCAAGACTCAAAATTATTAATATAATAATTTATTATCAGAAATAAGGAAGAGATTATGAATTGAAACATTTTTCGGTTAGATATCTTTACGTAGACCAAAATCAAATTTTTCAAAAACTAAAAATTAACAAGTAAACGTTTCAGTCGGTATTAACCGATTGAATTATACCCTGCACCTTTTATTCTTTTATAGCAATAACTCAAACCTATGAAACCATTCTATAGAAACTTCACGGATATGTCTGTCCTATAATTGGACACACAACTGCCAAGTTTTATGAATCTAACTTTATTATTTTTCCAAATATTTAAAACTAGCTTTTGGTGTTGTATCGGAGGTACCCGAACCTGTCAAGCAATTCCACTAAAACTTTACAAATATATCTGATCTATAATTGGACACACAACTGCCAAGTTTTATGAATCTGACTTAATTATTTTTCCAAATATTTAAAATAAACTTTTGGACTTGTACGGAATCTACTCGAACCTGTCAAGCAATTCAACCAAAACTTCAGAAATATATCTGATCTATAATTGGACACACAACTGCCAAATTTCATCAATCTGACTTTCCAAAATATTTTTCCAAATACTTAAAATTAGCTTCTGGAGTTGTATGGCAGGTACCCGAACCTGTCAAGCAATTCCACTAAAAATTTAAGAAATATGTCTGACCTATAATTGCACACATGACTGCCAAGTTTCATTAATCTGACTTTATTATTTTGCCGTATATAAAAAATTTGCTTTTGGAGTTGTATGACAGCCACCCGAATCGGTGCGGCTAGCCAGGGATGGCGAACCTAAGGCACACGTGCCCAAGGTGGCACTCGTCTCTACTTTCCCTGGCACGCGCTAATAAATACAGTGCAAAATTTTTTATATTTCCGATATTATATTTGCCTAAAATATAAAAATTATATTTGCTAAAAATTGTTTCCAAAAATTTTTTAAGTGAAGCCTGTGAAGCCTGTATTTCCTTTAAAAACAAATAATATTATCATCCTGATATTGATGACTTAGCGCAGCAATTCAACAACAAAAATCTCTTTAATTCTATATTTATAATGTATGTACAAATAAGATTATGTCAGTTATAAATAAATCGACATATTTGTGTAAATGACAAATATATTTTGATTATTTTAAGGTACGCGAGTATTTTTTTCTAAAATAATTATTTTTGGCACGCAGTCCGATAAAGGTTTGCCATCCGTGGGCTAGACCAATAAAATTTTTATGAATGTTTAGAATATAATTTGACACGTGTATACAAAATTTTATAGTTATAAATTCATTAGTTTTTGAAATATTTAAAATAAACTCTTTGAGTTGTATGGCAGCTACCCGAACCCGTTGTCCGAATTAGGCCTATTACAATAGGGTTCGTCCTTGGCACAAAAGAAACAACTTGTGCAAGTTTGGTGTCGATTGCATTATTCGTTTTTGAGTTATCGTGCGATCGGGCGGACGGAAGGACGGACGGACATGTCCAAACAAGAATTTTACGCTGAGCAAAAATATATATATGTCCATATCGCAGATGACACCTTCAAGTAGTTATAAATTCCATACCAAAGTTAATATGCCCTTCACGAAGTGCAGGGTATAAAAAGGGGTTTTTTTCTTTTGGGTACAAAATAAACATAAAAACAATAAAAACAAAACGAAAAAAAAAAATAAAAAAATTGAAACTTTTAATATTTTGAGGATTTTAAAACATATTAAAATAATTTTAAAAATGATGTTTATTTCCATATTTTTGAATGAAAAATAATATTTTTAATAATCAATTTTTAGATTTGTAAATAATGTTGTTCAAAAAAACATTAATTTTTAATTTTGCTAAAATCTTTTCTTGAAAAGTTTTAGCTATCTCCCCTCTTCCTTTAAAAATTATAGCTCCTCAAAGAGCCATTTTAAAGAAACCATAAATATTCAAATGCAAAAAATTTGCTGCTGGCATTTTTTATAGCGGCACGGCATAACTTAATATTAAAAAGAAATGTCTGTTAGAATTAATCGTTACATAAAGCCCATTCCTTTTTAAAATAGGTTGTAGAAGTCTGAAACTTTTAGATACTAATAAAAATTTTTTTCCAATTTTCGTAAGTTATCGTGTCTCGAAATTTGTAAAAGTCGCATTTTTAGCAGTACATATTTCCGAAACTGCAAGTTTTTTCGAATTTCTATGAATGAAAGCTAACAATAAATGACGCAATCAACCCTTGAATTCGAGAATTATATTAACGCCTCTATTTTTTTTTCAAATGCAGTATTCTCACTTGGAAAATTGCTAGTTTACAAACCATTTAAAGTTTTAACCAAGTTTATTAATTTTGTTAGCTACTTTTAATAAAAAATCTTTTCCGTTTGTAAATAATTTATTTTGTTTATAAAAAACAAACATCTATGTGTGAGTGTCAACACATACTATGACAAAATGTGCACACATTAACGCAGTCAATGTTTTTAATAATAAAAAAAAAACATAGTGTGCTTTTGAAAAAAATATTGAAATTCAAATCATGTGAACTGAATAATTTCAGTATTTTAAAAAATTTTAAATTTTTGAAAATTTTTTTAGTTGTATATTTTTTATAAATATGTGGTGATGTGTATTCCTAGCTAAAATAATTATATTTGTGTTTGTATTTTTCATAAATACGAGTATACGCACACATAAAAACGCTTTTTATTAAATTTTTTAAGGGAAATGTTTATTTTTCAGTTTTTTAAAAAGAATATTGGTTCAAGTCATCAATTATAATATTAATATTTGGTTTTTGTACCTATTTGAATATTTTCACATATTTTGTAATTCTCAAAATTAAAAATTTCAAATTAAAAATCAAAAGTAAAAATTTCCCATCCAAAAAAACTGAAAAAGTAGAATTTAAAAAGCTGAAGTAGAAAAGTAAAATGTTCACGTTTTTTTGCACGAAATTCTAAGTCTACAAAATAGTTTCTGTTATTATTATGAATTTACTATTAAATTTAAATAATCAAATTTCTAGAGAATAATATAATACAGAATTTTTTTTTATACACATGTACAAGATTTTGAAGTTTAATGATTCGAAGCGTACGGAATTCACCCAATAATATCCGTAATTTATTTCTTCAAGTGAATAAGGCGTATTGCATACTGATAAGATTCTTAACCAGATGATAAACTTTTTCATTACTGATTTCGCACACGTCTGCAGTGATTCTGTTGTACAGTTTAATAGTATTTTAAAATAAACTTCTTTTGTGCCGCTCAGTTCAAGTAAAAGGGATTCTTAACATGTTAGCTGCTCTAGTACAATGCCGATGAAAGTCTAGAACAACATCAGAGCTGTAATTTGATTTTATATTCGACCTGATTGCTTTACGGAAAAATTTAATTCCTTAAAAGAAAGAATGTTATAATTTGGACAGTGTTCCAGGACCCTGCTTTATTTTGATTGCCCTAAAAATGACTTTATTAATCTTTTCTATAATAAATCTCGAACAGCTTGCCAATATTGAAATATTGTACTTTATATACGGGACGATATACGCATTCAGGATCAACCTTGCAGTTCTGTCATCCCATTTAACCCCTGTGCGCTTTATTACACCAATTAGTGAATACATTGTAGAAGTTAAATATTCGACATGATTATTCCAAAATAGTTTCTCATCAATTATGACGCCTAGGAGTCTGAGTAGTGATTCCCTGCCTATAAGTACATTGTTAATTTTGAAATGAGGCCAAATATCGTTTTTATTTTTTGTTTTAAAAACGATGTATGTATTTTATTTTTCCATTGTTGATTGTTAAGTTATTTCCAAAAGCCCATCTATTAAATATATTTTGATCATTGTTAACCTTATGTTCAAACGTAGGTCGATCCGTTCCTTAGTACAAAAAGCAGGAATCGTCAGCATAGATTTTACAGCTAGCCCTAAACAATGTATGTACAAAAGATATAAAATTGGACCCATTTTATATCTTATATGGAGAATCGAAGCCTGCGGAACACCACATCTTAGAAATACCTCATCACTTGTTGAGGTGTTTGCAGAGGTGCAGCTTATAACCACCTTATGCCTAGTTCATACAGCTTGTCAATCAAAATGCAATGGTCGATTGTGTCGAAAGCTTTTTCAAATCGATGAACACGGCTGCTAAACATCTCTTACGATCCATTTCTTTTTTAACGAAGTCTTACATATGGACCAAAGCTGCTTCCGTATTACTTCCTGACTGGAAACCAAAGATCTTTCAAAGATCTTGGATACTGTTTGCAATAATAATATTGGTCTGTAGTTTGTTGAGATTGTGGCATCACCCAATTTGAAAATTGCTTTAATTACAGTTTTTTTCAGCATATCTGGAATAATTCCTTCAGAAAAGCAATTGTTCTGAACGCTATCGTCAGATCTTT